TTTTTCTCTTCACACCAGTTTTCAGAAACGTTGGGGAGTGGTGTTCCTTTATTGCATTATTTGAGTATATTTGTTTAATTTTTTCCAAATGCAAGTTAAAAGAACATTAAGAAATTTAAGATTGCACAACTAGTAAATGTTAGGTGGTTGCTCTGCTAAATAGTTACCATTGTATTGTAATGTGAAACGTCCATTGTTCAAAGTTGGTAAGTTTGAACAGAAGCTCACCTTAGTTTGAGCCTTGTATTACTTTTGTTTTAGACATACGCATGTAGATTTATTTTTAGGTATTCTGTTCTTTCTGTTCTAGATCTAAACTTGGAATTCTACAGTTCACCATTCCCTTTGTGTGCTTAATAAATGGGGCCTTAGAACCAAGGAATACATAAAGTGCTCCAAAGGCTACAAAGCAGATGTACTGGTATAAAAACTCTGCACTGAAACAGAAGATGGAAAATATATGTACTGTACATATGTATATATGCGTGTGTGTGTGCGTGTGTGTGTGTATACACACACCTGTGCTCACATACCTAGATTTTTTCTTTCTGATAGGTGTTCCCATTAATTCTTGACTAAATTTATTTTGTTTCGCTGAGTCTGCGTGGGGCTGTTTCACGTAGCTGTCAGAAGAAACTGTTGTTCGGCTCTTGTTCTGAAATGTTTCAATAGAACCCACAATATCTGAATAGGTGACACGCTTGGAAGATGCTTTCTTAATGAGTTCTGCTGACTCTTGACTGGTTGGTTGATTTTTAAGAGGCTCTATTGTGTTTTTTCCCTGAGGAAGCAACAACAAGAAAGCATATATAATATGTAGCAAAAACTGAGCACCTGGTATAAAACTCAATACACACTACCATGGAGTTTCTGTGAATTTGCTATGGGGAAGGTTATTCAGAGTGACCATAGTAAGATAATGACAGAACAAGTGGAAAAGCAACCCAGAATATTTAATCCAAATATTGCTTTCCCTGTAGAATGGGAAGAATGAGACACAGAGAATGAGAAAGAGAAAGGAATCTATGAAATCACTACATTAGCAATATTTGTCTTCTAATCAGTTTTAAACCATTATTAAATTTGATATTTGTAAGTACGATTTCTATTTAAATGTGATGCTACTGAGCATATGAGTTGTAACATTGACTTCCTTTAAATGATTCTGCTATCAGCTTATTCTTTGCATTTTTCTTGTCACTACGTGTAATAATTTCTGTTGTGTACATAATTGCAAACTAAATCCAGTTATTTTGCCTTAAAAGGACTGTGGATTAGGATGCAGAACAGAGTTATTATTTTTCATCGCTTTTCAAAGATGACATGGTTTCTTTCATATAGAAGTTAAAAAAGTGGTATGCAGCTAATTTAGTCTTTTCAAGTTCTTGCATGAAGGGCAGAGCAATCTTATACTGAGGTCAGAGTGTCCCGATCTTGCATCGTGCAGAAGCATTCTGCTTTATGCTGGCTGCAGACTGGCAGTGAAAACGACATGGAATTGGGGAAAAAAAAAAGGTATCCTCTCCTAGGGAACCCCCTTACACTAGCTGTTGAGATAGTCTACATTTTTATCACATTTAAGGACATGCTGAAGGGCTGCAGAATCCTTCAGATCTTACATTCCTGCCGGTCAGATCCCCTTCAGGCTTTCGACAGGCTTTTTTTTTTTTTTTGGTCATGGAGAGTCCCTGGCTGCAGATCATGCATGAAATGTTCAAGTCTAGCAACAAAAAAACTTGTCAGTTGGGTGGCACTTTTACTAGTGAGATGTGATGCATATAATCACATATGCCACACAGTATAATCACAACCATGCAGTTGGTTAAATAATTAATTAGTTGAATTATTGAATTGAGATGTGGGTTTTCAAGAAATAGAATGTTCCATCCATCCATCCATCCATCCATCCATCCATCCATCCATCCATCCATCCATCCATCCATCCACAATTTAAAACATTTCTATTACTTGCCATGCCCTTGCATTACAGATGAAACAGCTTGGGAGAGGAGGTTTTTTTTTTTAAATTGTACACTGATTGACTGTGATATACAAAATCGCACTATATCAATGTTTCTGAATTACCTCAATATATACAACAGCTTGGTTTCTTTGTACACATGTAACTGATTTGAAAACTATATGACACAATAAAATGTGTACTTTGCTTTGGTTGATTGCATTCTCTTTATTTCCTTTTGTCATCTTTTTTTAGGCAGGGATTCTTAAAGAATTAATTATTTATCATCTATCTGTCTGTCTGCCTGTCTGTCTATCTGTCTAATCTTATCTTAGTGGCTTCAAAATTTTTCTTTTGCTTAAATAGGAATTTGGGCCAGGCTAACCCACTAACCAATCATTTTATTAAGTAATTTATGCATGTATTTCCTGCTCTTCTCTGAAGACTTATAAGACTATTTCAGAACAAAACAAGAAAGGCATAGCAATTTTTTCTCTTCACACCAGTTTTCAGAAACACCAAAAAAATTAAAGATAGGTCTATAATATATAAGGTACTTTCCCTGCATGGTGAAGTAAACACGGAATTGATATCAAAGTTTTTTTTTTAATCAACTTGAGAAAAGTGCCTATTTTTACTGTACAATTGGTATATGTGGTGTTTGAATGTTCAGGGTCTCATTTGCAACAATATTCCTGATTTGTGAAGTAATGTTGGGTCTATCCAGTAAACGCTCACTTGTATTCCTGTTTTATTCCTGATGGCTCTATTTTCCTCCTGGGTCTCAAATTCCTTATAAAGAGCGTTAACTGAAGACCCTTTGGATTTAGATTTCAGCAGATTGATGAGCTGCACCCACTGAGAGAATAAGTCACTCTGCTTCTCTGGTGGAGCACAGAGTTCTAAGTAATAGGCACGACCGTTCACCAACTTAAGCTTGATCCGTCTCTTCTTAGCAGAGTGAACGGAAAGGTCTACAAACTTCAAAGGCAAAAACCTGCAACAAAGTTATCATGTCAGTTCCTGAAGGTAATATTTTATCAAATCACTACACTGAAAAGGACAGGAGAAGATTGGACAACTGTTTCAAGAGATTTAATTATTGATTTGGGTTGCATATAAACCGAAGAAATAGTACATATAAAGGAAGATTGGCTAATTGAGTGCATATGAGAGGAAGAAGCCTTTTAATACTATACTTAATCCAGACAGATCTTCCAACTTCCTGAATGGTAAAATAAGAAAAAAGTAATAATGCAGAAAAAATGTATACCATTTTAAGATACATTTCTAGTTTGCCCCATATATTAACCTAATGATATAATGTTCCATGCATACCCTTTTCTGTAGACATTACATTGGTGCTAGTTTCCAACTGGGGACACCTCCTATCAGCACCATGGTATTTGTTAGTAAGTTAATGGTAAAAACGTCGTAATAATTATCATGACTTAAAAAAAAAAAGCTAAGACATTCTAGAAGCATAAAGAATTCATGCATAATGAAGTTATACAGGTCAAACTTAATTTGATTGTTAGAAAGGGCCATTTCTTGAGAGCACATTGTGAGTTCTTGATGACATGGCTGCAATGGGGACATGGACATTGTCAAAATAGCTGCCCTAGTCAAACATAAAATATTTACTAGAAGGGAAACTGGTGGTGGTTATATAGACACCAGCTTGCTTGCTTCAGTTCTAACCTTAACTGTATCACTGAGCACATTGGTCTCTTTTCTCATTATGAATATCTAGATATTTATTCAAAGTATCTAAAATTTATCATGGAGTACCTACCTGGTAGTAAGTTAGTCTTTCCCTGAAATTTAGATAGATCTGTATTATTTTGCTGGCTTCATGTTTCACTTGTGGCTAACAAGGACTCCCAAATCTTTTTCACATATACCACTGCCAAACAGGTTTTCTCCATCCTCTCCTCATGCTGTTAATTTTTCCTACAGTACCTAGATGCAGAACTTTTCATTCCCCACATCAAATTCCATCCTATTCATTGTGGCCCACAGCTCAAGCCTGTTTTTTAAAATCTTCTGACCTCTAAAGGTCATCATCTGCAAACCTGATAGCAACCCCCATCTATGTAACTGATTAAAATGCTGAATAGGTCTCAGGAGCCCTGTGGCACTCAATACTTTTCTCCAAGCTGGAGCCATTACTGAGGCACTCTTTGGTGTGGTTATTCAGTCCATTTAGATACAGTACCATCCAGACTATATTTTACTATTTTATTAAGAAGAATATCATCAGAAAAAAGATGTGATTTGAGTGATTTTGGGAAGTGGTTTGCCATTGCCTACTTCCTAGGGCTGAGAGAAAGTGACTGGCCCAAAGTCACTCAGCTTGATTTGTGCCTCAGGTGGGACTAGAACTTATGGTCTCCCAGTTTCTAGCCTGGTGCCCTAACCGTTACACCACAGTGGCTCTTGTTCTATAACATAGGCTACTAATAATCCTCTTCTGATTTGTGGTGTTACATTAGAGAATTGGGCATTATATTTTCAGCCGTTTTGCCAATGGTGGTGCTACAAAAAATACATCACATACCTTCATCTTATCTGTGCCATCTTGTGTTGCAAGGACTGAAAATTAATTCATGAGCTAAAGATGGATTTCTGATTTTAAAAAGATTGATGAAGGGAAAATTAATAATTTTATGTACAGGCTTTGTTTACAAGGGAGAAAATGTGAAGAGTGGATAAATACTTCCACTATTTCTCCAAATCAGCATATGGCAAATAACTCTATACTTGGGTATTTTTTCTAGTATTAACTCACCTGGTGAGTACTAGTTCATCTTTAGAACATGAGTGCTGGGTAGATGATGGACAGGCTGAAATGTCTTCTTTGGAGGAATAGGGGGATGAATGGGCAAGCAGCATCACATTTGGTAATGACAATTTTGTGCTGGAGGCACATATGCCCATAGTCACATAGTTGGGACGATTATGAAGGTAAATTGATCCACCTCTCCTGTTTACCTGAAAAAAAGAAAGATATGTTTGTTCTAAGCATAATAAAGAAGTAAATGTTATTTTTACAGCACCTAAAACCTCAAAATATTTAAAAAAGAAAAAGAAAAGTAGGATGAAGCAGGTTATGTAGTTAAGAGAGAAAGATAATTAAATTTAAATCAGGACATGAGTCTGTACGAAGGAGTGGAGTGGCAATGATGCTCAAAAAAAGATCACTAAGTATGTGCTTAGCTGTACAACCAATTATAATACCATAGAATTAGTAGATATTCAGTAAACAGCAATGCTATACAAATGTATGCACCAGCCTACTATGGATGTAATGCTGGATATACTGAGGAATTCTACAGTATTGCAAATTGCAAGAGGTGCTAAAAATAAGACCGAGAAAAGCTGTACTAAAGTACTGCTAATGGGTGATTGTAGTGCCAAAGTTGGAGAAATCAGTGAATGTGGAATCACAGGAATATTTGGACCGAGTAAGTGCAGTTATTTAGAAGATTGGTTAATAGATTTTGTGAATTCCTTGTTTATTGCAAATGTCTGTTTCAAGCAACAACTTAAAAAAAAAGGACTGGAACATACTATGGGTTACTAATGCATAATATACGGCTTAAACCTAATTAGAATATTAAAGATAATAAATATCAGCAAGATAAGACTAGGAAAATATATAATCAGAATATAATATTAATGTGAGGAACAGAGTATGTTAACTTAGGTGAAAGAAAATCTGAGGAGCTGTGGGAAGAGATGAGACGTTATAATATGAAAAGATAGTCCTAAAATTTCAAAGAGGAAAAGATCCAAGTGGCTTTCAGAAGCAGCTATCATGATAACCAGGAAAAGACAGAGAGAAAACACCTTGGGTAACAAGAAAGGGCATAAAATGAATGAACAGGGATTTCTAGCTTCAAGCACAAAAGGAAAAGGAAAGATACCTCAATCAAGAATGTCAGCAAATAGGAAAATGAGATGAGAAGAAAATGAGTGTTTTAAAGAAAATTTATCGCTAAGGTAAAAATGCTCCAGAGTAATTATGGAAATTATGGAAAAGATCTGATGCAGGCAAATAAAAGGACCACAAATATCAAACAAGACTGGAACAATTATGTTCCATAATGGTTCCAATTATGGAACAATAAATATGGAAGAAGCCTAGAGACTGGAAACAGTTGATCTATACAAAAGAAGGGAGGTGCAAGAGAATGCACCACTTAACCATTGTGCTAATTCATCATTCAAGCACAGTTTTGTTTAAGAAGAATAGCCATATGTGGTCAGACAAATGCCAGATATCCAGGCAAGCTTCTGAAAGACAGAGATAAGAAATCAGATTGCTAAAATAAGTTGGATAATAGAGAGAGCAAGAGAATATGAGGAGGCTTACTTTTGATTCATTGGCTACAGGAAGGCCTTTCAGTAAAGCATGCCAGAATGCGGAACATGTTAAAGATATTGGGTATACAAAAACACCTGGCTATTGTTCTGAGGAATCTTTACATTGAATAAGAAACTACCTAGGAACTTAATTTGGAGAAACACACTGACTCAGAATACGTAAGGGAGTGAAGGAAGTGGAGATTAATCCTAGGGAAGAAGGAAATAACAGACAGACAAAATCCTGAAGGATAACAACACTTCAAAGACAACAAAGATAAAAATAGATAAAGCAATAGCCTTTACAGTGGTAGCATACAGCTGTGAATGCTGCATACTATGGAAGAACCAAAGAAGAGTCATGGATTTAGAGATAGCTGATAAGAGTATTATGGCCTATAAGAATAATCAATTAGTGATAGTCAAAAGAGACTTTGACTCTTCCCTTGAGGAAATGATCTATAAGCAGAAACTCACATAATTTGAGCATGTGAGTGAATGATGGATCAGAAAAAATTACTACTTTCAACAAAGCTGAGGGAAGTAGATGATGATGATAATGGATAAAGTATATGAATGAGCTCAAAATACGTATGTTCTTAGAAATGCTACAAGTTATTACAAAAGATATATCAAGATGGTGAACGGTTACCCATATCGTCACCAGGAGTTGAATCCAATTCAATGGCTCAAGTCTAAACAGAGCTAGTATAGTTAAAATGATGAAGAGCTATAAGGAAGTTTTGAAGAACATGAAGATGGCTGTTTTATGGGAATTAAGTACTTATTCCAAGTTCCTTTTGTTGCGTGGAGCTCAAGAGTACTTTAGTTCCAGGATAAAAACCTGCTTAGGTATTATACAACTGACAAGGGCTACTTTTGATTAAATTAGCAATTCTATTGCCATGTTTTGATAAGCACCTTAAAGAGTATATATAAAGCAAAAGCTAAAAAACTGCAGCATTGGAACAGCTAAATTACGTTTATTTATTCTAAATTTTATACACAAACAGACACATGTACGTATCTCTCTCTCTTAGAAATTGAGTCTGAGTAGTGGATAATGTATCACAGTGATTAATTGGTAGCTAGTTTGATCTAAATTAAGTCTTAGAAAATGGTTCCAAGTATAACTCAGTAAAGGTTTGCTACAGATAACTTAAGAGGTCATAATTGGCACATCAGTTTAAGCTAATACACTGTTGTTTCTTCCTTCCTTGAAGGAGAAGGAAGCTTCAGTGGAAAGCAAGGAGGCTGAACCCATAAGATTTTCCTTACCCAGGTTCTGGGGTCTAGCATGCAGATTGATCTATATCTCACCCCTTCAACTTCTACCGAAGCTCCTATTTCAGACCTTCAGCCTGAACTGACCCTTAAGTATCTAACTCCACCACTGTGTGCAAGATCAGAATGCTGAAAGGTACAGGGTTACTCTGCCTAGTGCATAAGAGCTTGTGTGGCAGGCTAGTCAAGCTGCTGGAAACAACATTCGTGGCAACCTGATTTCATGTCTTGTGTCCAGATATATTGAACATTGTGCTTATCCTGATTATGGGATTCTTGCTTGTTACTCAGCAATGTTTTTCACTTCCTTTTGACTCACTAACAGCTTGATCACTCTGTTTAGCAAGTTTTTGTGACCTGACTTGCACATTTTCTGATCTTGGCCAGCTCAACATCTCTCTCCCCTTACCCTCCTCCCGAGTTTGTGGGACAGAAACGGAAAGTTGCCCCCATGCTATAGCAGTCTCTTGAGACCTCAGTTCATAGTATCACATAATTCTTTTCTGATAGAGTTGGAAGGGGCCATCTAGGCCAATTAGTCCAATTCCCTGCACAGGTAGAAGAATCCAAAGCAAAGCATCTAAGAAAGTTGAGTATCAAGATATGAATCAGATCTGCCATTAGAATTAATACAGTAGTTTTAATGTCTTTCCTGAGCTGATGAGCTGCTGACCCCGAGAAGTTCAATTCAGTTCAATTCAATTCTGACAGAATTAAGTTTGTTAATGGGGCCTTAACTAAATCATTATTGATTGCAGGGAGTGATTCACCATAAAGAGTTACCTTTGGGGAGTTAAATAAAATAATAATAAAGCTGGGTATTGTTGCTTTATTTTTTATTTTTTTACTAGAGATTAAAAAAAAGCTACAAAGCAATTGTTGGACATTCTAGCAACAATTATACTTTCTGGGTAACGGAGGGATGCATGCCTTAAAGAGTATGATATGCAAACGAAGTATTTCATATACTTTACATAGTATGCAAGCCCTTTGTGGAAGCTTTGTGGGTATTGCACTTCTACTTTTGATTCCATATATGCAATGCCTGGGTGGCCTGAGTAGTTTTACACTGAGAATGAAAAGAATAGGGGACAGGAGGGAAGTCTGGGGGAATTCACAGCCTAAAAGCTATGGGGTTTGGTGATAAACTTTAAATTAGGAATGGATATGGTGCTTCAGTAGGGAATAGAATTGCTGCAAAACTATATACACCTACTATATACGTACTCTTTTTCTAACCTATCCAAAAGAATGTGGCATTGAAAATCTAGAAGCCTGTTTTCTTTAAAAATACTAGCCTTGAAGACAGATCAAAAAGATTTAATCCAAATTGGTTGAATCCAATCAATTATTGTAATTCTCAGTATCCAAAGTGGTTTCTTAGAAAATTTAGTTACTTCTTGTTTCAAGGTAGAAAGGAAAGAACATTAACAGCTTCTCTGATTAAAAATTAGTCAGTCCTCCTCCTGCCCTCTACGTTGTCAGGTACTGAGGGAAAAGCTGGAGGGAGCGAGTGGTAGGATAACCTTTCCATCTATCTTTCTTACTTTTTCAGTCCCTGTACCTGAAAATCTTTCTACCAATTAAACAAATGCACTTCAAAAAATAAATTACCTGAACAAATTTACTCTCAAACACAGGAGCAGATTTCAAGGGAATATATTCTCCTCTGTCAAGAACTTTCTGAAGATCTCCCATAGTAAGTTTGCTGATTTTGCAGGTTGTGTTTTTAAAGCTTTTAAAAGTGGCAGCTGCTTATTATACCTAAACACAAGACAAGAACAAATGATACTCTTACAGAGGAACCATTTACTAATGGAAATAATGCCGTATCAGACTATTTCAGAATATTGGAGACTGCTATGGAAACATTGATTTTCAAACTCTTTGAAAGGCATATCATGCATTGGACTACATTACTATGCTGAATTATGTGCTTAGGGGCTATTTCTGTAAAAAGAGATGTCTGTGACATTTGGACATGATCATGTTCAGGCATGTTATTTTAGATGTCAAGGGACACTTGCTGCCATTTTGCTCTGAGCACATAATATAAAGATGGAGTTAAGGAAGCAGATTCAGAGATGGATAACTGCTTTTGAGGGCTTTCAGGGAACTTCACTGGTGGGCCACTAAAATGATCTAGGAATGATAAATAATTATAATGGGATATGAGGATTAAGACTTTGCAATATAAGAAGAGATTGTAGTAGACTCTTCTGATAAATTTCAGCAATGTGGCAGGTAATACTCTCTGGGGAGGCCAAACCCTGCAACAAATACATAGTATACCAGGACAGACAGTCGTCACTGAGCTGGGTTCAGCAGAGACCTCTACCAGATAACTTGAAGCATCATTCATGGAGAATTTCTGTACTATATAGCCATGTAGTTTATAACACATACCTTTGGTGTATTTTTATAGAAATGGGCAAATTGTTATTTTTCGCTTGTAATGCATTTTTACAAATATTTTTTCAGTATACACTATATGAATTCTCCTTAATATGTATTTGCTGAGACACAGAGGTTTTTGGCATTCATGTGTTTTCAAGTTCACATCCAAGTTTGATAGAATGGGTTTGTACTGGGTAAGTTCACATAAAAAAGCATCCACATCAAGCACATTTCTATCATTCCTGTTTTGGATTTTAGCAACTAATAAACCAATCCTCCTTAAGTAGGTAAAGATATTCTCCTTACTGAGTTTTCAAAACATTATTTTTTTTAGCTTAAACATCAATAAGATGGCAGGCCAATAAGCAAGCTTATGTGCATGTGTATGTATGTTACATTTACATAATGAAAAAGTTACCTCTTTCTAATAAAGTGTCTCCCTAAAAAAGGGCATTTACTCAAAAAAGTAGAGATAGCAGCTGAAACCATACGATCAAAACTCTGTCCTTTTTTAACATGCATCCCAGATGCAATGCATGAAAAAAGAGACTGTTGCAGATGCCGTCTTGATTTTTTGACCCCCAACATGGATGTCCCTGGTTCCTAAATCTTATGTTCCTTTTTTTTTTTTAGGTCATTTAATTTTTTCAAGATGAACAAACCAATCAAAACGGTAATGATTAAATAAAGGTCAACAAGTAAGTGCTCCCTATCCCAGATGCAATGCATGAAAAAAGAGACTGTTGCAGATGCCGTCTTGATTTTTTGACCCCCAACATGGATGTCCCTGGTTCCTAAATCTTATGTTCCTTTTTTTTTTTTAGGTCATTTAATTTTTTCAAGATGAACAAACCAATCAAAACGGTAATGATTAAATAAAGGTCAACAAGTAAGTGCTCCCTTGTAGAACTTTCCAAGCAATGGT